AACATTACAGAAGATTATGATCTTGTTAGTTAGTCTTTGTGATTTGGCCTTTTTAGCTTTTATCTTAAGATTCAAACCTAGAAAGGTCCTGACTTTCACATTCTACACTTTCATTCTCAGTTACTCTTGAAGAAAGGTCAATCTTCAGAAAGCGATACGACTGTCAGTTTTCTTATTTTGTAATAGTTATAATCTCTTAGTTTTCTTTCAAAAAAAGTATATTTAGAATGATAAACTAAGAATAATAAAAGTAGTCAAAAGAATGTCAATAGGAGAAACGTTTAGTTTTCATTTGGCAAATCCAAGTCTCAGTTATCCAAGTGCATCAATTTCTGAAACAATTATATGGAGCTTCTTTTGTCTACAGCAAATTCTAATGTTTTTATTAATTTTATGATTGGAGAAAGAATATCACCTCTCTTCCAAATCTTACATCGTTATGCAATAAAATGTCATGATCTTAATTTTTGAAATAGGCAAACTTTGAATATTTCAAATTATATTTTTATTCAATAGGTTTTAGTGTTATGTTTCGACGTAGATGTTAAGAACGCTAACTTGTTTGAGGTGATTACTGAACAATTCGAGAAAACCTACATTTAGTGAAAGCCTAGAATCTAAATGTTAGGCAATACAAACTGAAGCTTTATTTCATATCCAAAATATTCTAGTCTGTGTTATATATACATGACTGTTCATTTTCAGCTTAATATGAGATTATCATTTAGTTTACATAGCATAAACATTATAGTAAGCTATTTTTAGAAGCCATAGTTATTACAAGTTTGCTTACGTATCTCTTTAGAAATAATTTGTTGTGTAGTTCAATTGTTGTGAATTGACGACATGTTACTGAACCTTCTGAATTATTCTTGTTGCTTTAATCGAATATTGTTGCATCATATAATGCATATTAGTGTATAGCAAGTTTTAGACTGCTGTCCAGAGTATATATATATATATATATGTGTGTGTGTGTGTGTTGACAAATCAGGGAAAAATTGATAGAACTAGATATAGACTGGGTGATTGTGAGTTTAGCTATAAAATGTGTTTAGTGGCGACTTTTAAAGAATAGTAAACGCAGATTGTATTGCAATAACAGAGTAGATAAGAAGAAGTCGTCTTGTCAATTGGATTCTCAAGTAACTTAACCAGCCTGTGTGGACTTTTGACGTAAAAGCGAAATATTTATAGCTCTGGACACAACTGCGGTGATTAATTGTGCAATGAACATTTGTATGTAAGTTTCATTCATTTTAAGATATAATATTTTAACTCTATCTGCCCGGGCATCATTTACTGCGCATGTCACGAGATTTTACTAGCTTACATTCAAAATTTTATTAAACTACTTTCTACTAATTAGCATAGCATAAAATCGTAGATTATAATATATATTTTAATTCTACATAAGTTTTATATTCTTAATTTTATAAGGCAATATTTTGAAAAATCCTGAATTTCCCCTAGTATGAGAAAGGTGACACATTTTCTGTAGGCATCCCACCTCTCCAATAAGTACAAAATTTAATGTAAATTACTCACTATAAAATCTTCATTGCTCAGACAAACCATAATTTTTATAGCTTTCAATTTTGTTTGGTTTCAGAGCCTTCAAATAGAAAATCAGACCCCTCTTGCCACAGCCACCTGTCACATCCTCTCTTTCAGGACTTGTTAATAGTTCTCTCTCTTACGATTAATTTTATATTATCTATAACCATTAGAAAGCAGGGATTTCATCTATCAAATGAAGTATTATGTTACGTTGTTTTCTGAATAGAGAATTGTCAATTTTTCTTTTATTACGAGCTTCGTTCTCACGGGAAAGATAATGAATAGCTTGGATGAATTTGTAACGGCTCTTGTCCCATAGTTAGAAAGCCAGAAAAATTATGATAATCAGAAAAAATTGTCTGCTTTCGCATGTTATTATTCAATGTTATTTGGCGCAATATTTAATTAAATAAAAATTATTTTGGGCATTACTACCATTAGTGTAAAAAAGTAGGGTTAAGTGTCATCGACAGTTGACAGTAAATAAAAAGAAGACACGGGTAAGTACTTTATTTCTTGTTTTTCATGTTTATTCTTTATCTATTATTATAAAAGTAATTAAAATGTAAAAATAGGGATCTCTTTAGATTAGTTAAGGTAAAATAAATAATATGGGTAACTCATGTGTAATGTGAACTGCACGTTCCACAAGTAATTTACAACTTATAATGGCGCGAATAGTAGTTAAACAGAGTTCAAAGGCAATAAAACAATAAAATTCAATTATAAATATATGTATACTGTTATGAGTTTAAAGCTACTTAGGATATACGAATATAGTTTCAAGTTACAATTTGAAGTCATTCTAGAAAGAAGAAAGAGGGTAATTTAGATTTATTTAGATTTTTTTTGGTGATTACAAGGTCGGTCAAATTGACCAACCTTATACAGAGTTAAAGTAGAAAATATAGCAGATAAAATATAAAGTTTTACTGAAAACAAGCATTTGAAATATATTCAGGAGGATTAAGAGATTACACAAATGAAATATGAGATTTATGAGATGAAGAAAAGTATTTTTAATCTGGACATGAAAAATCACTTTACTCATGGATTATTCAAAACAAATAGTGTTGAAATATGTTCACAAGAAATGTTTACTAAAATACTTCAATAAAAGACATGATTTTTGTATACAATAGACTTGTAATGTTTGCTAAAAGTCTGCCAAATTTCGTGAAGATATACAGACTGTATTATAAGTTAGTAGTATCAAATCCATAAAGACTAAACGAGTACAAAGAAGTCATGTTGTCGGTGAAATTGAAATATTGAGAATAAAAGCACAAATTAAGATTGCCAAGCTCACCCAATAGAAAGATGAAGGACACAAAAATAATAATATGGTCAGGGTCAACCGACCCAAGCTTTCCAAATTTCATGAACAGAAAGATGACGTAGAGCTTTTCTGGAGAGATATGAAAGATCTGCCTAAAGACAGAACTATGAAAAAGGTGATTGGGCATTCTGCCTCAGACCCTTTACACAGAAAAAGGCCTACAAGTGTGTGCTGTCAAGACGTCAGAAGATTCCGTGAACTGTGACAAGATAAAAGTGGTCTTTCTGAAGTGCTAAGAACTTAATGAGAAAGGTTTTCACAGGAAGTTCAGGGAAGTCAAACCAGACTCTGGAGAAACTGTATTTCATTTTGTGGCACATCTATAGCAACACTTCAAAAGGTGGACTGACATAGCAAAGTGTGAAGATAGTTTTGAAGTACTGGCAGATCTACTAATACATGAACAGTTTACGACCACGTGCTTTACTGAAATGTCACTAAAAGAGAGAGCACCAAAAGACATGGAGGAGATGATCAAGCTGGTAGAACAGTATATGGGAGCCTATGGAAGGGGTATAACTGGCAAGTTCAAGAATAACCAGCTAATGTCGAAACCAGGAGTGGCTAATCAGAAGCAGGATGCCATCAAAGGTGACAAGAGGTTAATAGATAAAAAGGAGAAGATATACGATGTTATATATAAAATGGAGCAAATTTCAAATGAGTGTGAATCTAATCAGCAAGTAGCCACATAAATTTCAACATAAAGCAGTTGGAGTACCTACAGAAATAGTCCTGGCAAGAAACAGGAAAAGAGTGATTGTTACCATGGATGCCATTGCCAGAAGAAACAAAATTGAGACAACTCGTCAGGATCTCTACAAGAAGGAAGTGCTATCACCATGATTAAACAGTGCATGATTGATGGTCAGCTCAAATTAGCAAATGGATCAAAGTGCCACTGGTGATCAGAGCATGCGACAAACATAGAGAGGTGCCAACAAACACAACATGCCAGTAGGTGAAGGTTATGTTGGGGATAAAAAAGTGAAAGTCCTACGAGACTCTGAGTGCAGCATGTCTCAATTCCTACTGCCTTTCACTGTCTGCGACCAATTGTGGGAAGGCAGTTACCCTTAAAGCTCTTAAAGTAGAAAGGAAACCGCCATAAACTTTCTACCATGTGAAACCCTGGCCTTACAAATAAATGTTAAATGGAACTAAATGAACTTAAAGGCGGTAGGAATTCAGACTTTGTGGGTGTAAGCACTCAGCTCTGCATCAATAATTGATTTTCCATAATGTCTGGCTAGTTTACTATCAGCGTTTTGATATTGTGTAATAGATGGGATATTCTGAACATATTTGGGTGCTATTACAACAAGTATTATCCATTATGACATCGAGTTGACAACTAGGACCAACAATGACAATGCTTATTATATATATATATATCCGTGTCGAAAACTGGTCAAAAAAAGTGATAAAGATAAAAATAAACTGGGTGATCGTGAGTTTAGCAATGAAGTGTTTATAGTGGCGACTTTTAAAGTGTAATAATCGCAGATCGTATTGTAATACCATAGTTGAGAAGAATAATTCATGTTGTCAATTGGGTTTTAAAGTAACCAAACCAGCCTGTGTGGACTTTTGACGTAAAAGAGAATTATTCTAAGCTCTCGATACAACTGTGGTAATCCACGGGGTAACTTAAGTGAATTTATCACTGATTGCATTGTGATAATAGAGTAGAGAAGAATAATTAATCTTGTCAATTGGGTTCTCACGTAACTGAATCAGGCTGTGTGGATTTTTTACGAAAAAGAGAACTATTTAAATCTCTGGATACAAGAACACGTTAAAAGCAGCTTTATTTTTTTCTGGAAATTTATTTGTTTTCATATTTTCATATTATATAAATTTTGATACTTATAATGATTTTTTTTCTTCTTGATATCAAAGAATTTCATTTCAATAAATTTTTTCTTAGAATCAAAGCAGTGTCTTTGAAATGTAATAATGATAAAGAAACCTCCAAGAAATTAATAACGTTCATTTCTTAGCAAATATATTAATGATAACCCGGTAAGCAGTATGAGCCGTATGGTATGAATTTAAGACTCTTGGGAACCACACTGATATTTGAGTTTCTTTAATTTAGGGAAAAAAGCAGTGGTAACTTTCTAGATAATCTTTTGAACCGGATGGAACAATATGCAAGTAACTTGGAACATTTAGTGGAGGAAAAAACGCAAGCCTTTCTGGAAGAGAAGAAAAAAAGTGAAGAGCTCTTATACCAGATTTTACCAAGGTAATAGGATGAAAAGGTTATGTTCATGAATGTATTTTAATATATGTGTAAATCAGTTAATAATAGAATTATTACAAAACCCTTTACCAGTTCAATTCACAGTTACAATGTTAATGCATAACATAAATGTAATTGTTGAATGCTTAAATTCTGAAAGAAATAAATGAAACAATCATTAGTAATAAAACCGGGGAAAGCAAACATTTATTGGCTAACCTTAATGAATAATTCAGCACCATATTGTTTACTGACTCAAATAGCACATTAGCAGATGTGGTGTATTCTTTCAAGCCTACGTTGTATGTTTACTGATTCAGAAAGTAAGTTAGCGGCTATAATGGTTTTCCTAGCTGTGGGATAATTATTTCAAACATACGTTGTATGTTTACAGATTCAGACAGTAAGTTAGTGGATATAATGATTACCCCAGCTGTGGAAGAATTATTTCAAGCCTATGTTGTATGTTTACTGATTCAGAAAGTAAGTTAGCGGCTATAGTGATTATCCTAGCTGTAGGAT